AATGCAAGTCCTGATAGGCTAGCATGCTTCACTTACAGCTGTCGCCATCTTACATCCCCTTCTTCTGCACAAAGGCATCTATTCTGATGTTTTCCCTTTTGCAAATGATGTCCCTTTTGTTCACACAAAAAAGGAAAATGCTAAACTTACCATCACTTCTTAAAAAAATCTCCCTTACAGAGGAAAGTACTCTTTTTTTTCACAAATGATAAATATGTAAATACATGCTGTTGTAAGAAAACGCAACCGTAGCAGGGCTAAGCAACCTAATATACCAACCTAACTAGCTTCTGTGCCAGCAGCAGAAACACAAGTCTCACTGTGGGCAGGCGAGGATTTTGTCCAGTACACTGACTGGTCAGGGAACCTGCCTGTACTTATGTCCATTCTATGTTTTCTGATACAGCTGATTGCGACTGGTATCAATGCATCTGCACATACTTCTGCAATCCACACCTCTTGTGTGGACATTCCCTAAAAAAAAAAGATCAACCTGACCAAATGACATAGTATCTTCTAGAAAACAGTTTGCTTTCAACAGTATTTTCTTTCAGAGCATAATCTTAGCTCTTTATAATTGTAGGACAGTTACTAGGATTACAATGTTTAGCTGATACCAATTATATGGGAAGGTTACCTCCTATAATTTTAATTGAACTATTGCTTTAGAGTAGGACCTAACTTTCATAGATCCGGCCTAAGAAAAAGGGGCAGAGAAGAACAGCTGGGATAATTATTCGCCACCTTCAGGATAGTACCTCAGCGAGAAAATTGTTTTCACACTTTGTAAGGTGTTAGGTTAAGGTGTTTCACTCTCATTTTAGACAGAACATTTAATCCAGTTTAGAGAACCATACTTCCAAGACAAATCTTTAGAGAGCGCCTGGAGAATCATAACAGAACAAAAAGAATAAGAGATTTTAAAAATAATCCTTCTGAGGTTGAAAAACTTAGGTTTTTTTTCAATCTTGCAAAAGAGAATACCGTGAAAAGATAAGTTAAGAGTCTTCCAACTCATAAATGATTGTGATAAATGCAATAGCAATCAGCCGCTCTTCACAGCCGCTGCAGTAAAATAATACGTAAATCGGCTAACTTTTGCGTAGTGCTTTATTTTTGATGATTACGAAAATATTTTTTTTAGTGTGGATATAAAATAGTGTCAGAGTACCTAAGGAGTCTCTGTCAGTCTAGGTAAATTTGAGCCTTCTTCTGTATCGGTGGTTGCGTTAAGTAATGACTTGTTGTTTTCAAACCTACACATCTATAGCTCCTGGACACAGCACCTTAGACTGCTAAATTTGATCCCTTTTTATCCATCCTGTCTTCAGAGTTATACGATGCTTCCTATTTTGATTATATTCTGATCTTCTATATTATTTCCCAGGTTTGTACAGTAAGCTAAACGAGTCAAACTCCCCAGTTCTCAGAACTACAAATGGAGTTAAGCGGCAAGGACCACAACCACAATATTTTCTGGAGAAACTTTAGTGGTAACACCTGCAGACATAACAAAACTTAATAACTATAGCCTTCAGAAACACTCTAATACTTCTGTAGAAAGCCAGTCTCAAGGTTTTTAGTTCTTCTTCCAACTTTCCATGTAAATTTAATTTGATTGTGAAATAGTTGTATTAAAACATGAAATGGTGGAACAGAGCAAACACCAAGAAATCAGATACCTAAATTCTGGAGCTATTTCCTTTTTCTGCATATAATAAAACCTCAGAGCTATTTCATTTTTCTGAATATACTAAGCACCTCTCCATAAATCCTATTATATTTCAATTGAATGCTATTAAGCTGCTAATAGTCTCATAACTAAAAATTACATTTATATAAAGCAACATTCGCAGGCAGTGTTTGATACACGTTTTTAATGTGGAACTACAGAACAACCAAATTGGATTTTTAGATATATTAACAACTCTACGTAGTTGTTGGACTTTAAGCGTTCATGCTCAGGAACATAACTGAAATACTGGGTATCATCTCCACCTAAGGATTTAGAATATTACATAGAGTTAGAAAAATCTCAAATTTCTTGTAGTTACTTTTGGATCAAAAGATAGGATTATATGGAGCCAAAATGGATGAAGAACAACATTTTTCAAAAGAAACAGGAATTAGTTAAAATCCTACTTAAGCTTGACAAGAAATCATTGCTTGGTCTTTACACAACTTTGAATACTAAAACTAAAAATATTTTTAATTCCTTTTCCCCACAAACACAAAGGAATTCTTATTTTCCTGCATTTCAGACACAGATTGCATTCTACAAAATATTTATAAACTGATATTTGACTGATTTAGGAAGAAAAGGATTTTATAGCCTAAAAGGAATCACGTTTCATTTCAAAAATCAGATTTTTATAAGATCATCATGCTCTGAAAAACTGTTTTAAGAAAAAAACTAACAACATTGGTATGCAGATGATGAGTTAATATCCCTTTAAACAGATTATGCAAAACAAAAATAACCATTTTAAAGAGTATTACCTTTCATATTACCAATTTTAAATGGTAAAAATGTTTCTACCATAGAACATAAACAATCTCAGGGAAGAAGAGAAAACTCAATGAAGACATGTCTCCCCAGTTCATGTTAATGAGCATTTAGTTAATGAAAATCTATACAGTAAATTCCTTTGATCAGGACATTTACTTCAGGAAAATGGCAATGGCAATTATAAAAACACTCATATAAATAAAATGCCTAAATTGGAGGAACATTCAATTTAAATATTGAAATAATTCTGAAGCTTGGAACTCCCATGAGGCAAAATATAACCCCAAAACTAATTACAGAACAAAAAAAAAAAAAAACACTTAAAAGCCCGTATGTATCTCACCATCTGCTCACTAACACTCTTCTTAATTGTATGCCACTCCTCTGCAATGAGAACAATTTTCACATTACAAAAGGCTGTCAAAGCTACCGAAATGGCTCTATGAATTGTTTTGTCCTTCCTGAGGTGCTAGAAATTGTTAGTTAGCGATTCCCGAAAATTTAAAGTATATGTTATCCACTACTCAAGAGAAAAATACTAACAACTCTAGAAGACATTCATTATTATATAGTACAGATCCAGTCCAAAAGTGATTAGATTTGCCTGCTGAAATCTGGTTGAGACCACACAAACTACTTATTACTATTTCTTATTCAAGCATGGTAATTAACTCAATATGAAAGAAAAAATAAAACAAAAAAAACCTTTTAAAGGTATATCTGACTAATACTGTGAACTATACTATATAATGGATTAGAAGTTTTTTTAAGCTTTGCATGTGAAAGATGGAAACTACCTATGAAGGTGAGTGGAATGTTAACAGTGGTGTATTTATCATGAGTGATCAAGTCTTGCGCCATAAAGGCCACTGCAAATATAGGTTCTCCTGTTTAATTAAAAAAAAAAAGTTATCAGTGCTGTCACTTGCATCCCTGCCTCTTGCCACCACCATCCACAAGAGAGGTTAACCATTTTGAAGTGATATTACCAGGAGATTCTATTTTAGCAAGGAAATGTCAAGATTTTAAAAGAAAAAAACAACCACAGATAAAACCTAGTAATCCCCATTTTGAAAGAAACAAACTGACACAGACTTTGCTAAGTTGTCTACAAAGAGGCAGCAAGATCACTGTTCCCTGCTCATAAAGGATACTAATTTAAATCCTTGACTGTCAGCTTACATTAACACACTTGAACATTAACAGACTTTCAGCCTTCCCCAGGAAGAGATATACTTTCCACATTTACTTACCTTTGCCTTTTTTATTTTACTAGATCAACCAGTGCCAAGACTATGCAAGAGAAACTACTTGGAAATTTCAAGAATTGAGAATACATAGGGAAAACTCTCACTTTTGTGGTTGGAGGGTCTGTCAACCACCAGACAGAATTCCTGAAAAGCACGTTTTAAATGTATTACATTGTAGGAATTATCTCTTGTTTTCAGACTGTTGAGCCAATATCCAGACAGCTGTCAGTGGCAGATGTTCTACACCGCAGCTGTATCATACCGCCCTCTATCTCAGTCATCAGTCTTCCAGCAGAATAGTTTGTGTGAACACTCTCTAAACCACTTAAGAGTCTGCAAGTTTGGCTCTATCACCAATTTAAAACTAACTTACTTTAATTAAGCTGTCCATATGAGATAATGAAACACTACAATTGCAGTCAGAGCTCTTGTGCAGGGAGGGAAGATAAAGCACAATTGAAGAATTTTACAACACAGTACTTAGAAGATAGTGCCTCATTACGCAGGACTAAAAAGCAGACCTTAAGCAATGCAGGGCTAGAGCTAAGTCCTTCATCCTGATCTGTGCATTCCAGCATTTACTGATTCCATCTTGGTACAGAACAGGATTTAAAGCCAAACACAAACAAGGAACCCATACCTATACTATTCTCTCCTTCTCCCTGTTATATATGCACATACACACAAATTCATATGCACTCCAAAATGATATTCAGAGAACTTCATATTGATTCCAGTTCTCATTCTTTGTATTATACCTCTTCAACATAATTTTTAAAAATGCAGGAAATTAAAGAATTGCCCCCGGCTCAGTCCATCTAGTACAACGTTTCAGCTTCAACAATGGCCAGCACAAGAGAATCTGCCATGTATCCTGGGTCAAGTACAATCCGATATTACACACTGCAACTAATTGATGACAGCTTGTTTTCTTCCAACTCAAAGCAAGAGCTGTAAGAAACTGTGATATTTCATGGACAAAACTCATATGGAACAAAATGTATAAAAAATAATGTAACTTAGTCCTGCTAACTGAAAAGCCATTAAACATATCTAGTTTAGTAAATTCAGTAGTCCAGTACTTGTACTGATATAAACCTAGTGATTCTTTTTCATCGGGAATGCAAGCAAGCGCATTATTTTGAGAGCTGAGAAGAAGGAAAGTTAACTATTTTTGAGCTGATACGCTAAATGACATAAAACAAACTACATCATCCTGCCCAGAAAGACAAAATTCCTACCAGTATTTTAGCCAATATGCCATCATCACTTGATTCCATCGTAACCACCGCTTTGTCCGTTTCAATTTCACACAAAGCATCTCCAGCATTCACCATTTCACCTGCAAAACACAACAAAACTTAGGAATACTTAGCCTAAACTTCCTTTGGGATCTACTTGACTGTAGAAGAGAGAGATTTAACCGTATAATACCAACATTTTACATTCTTAATACATTCCTTAGTAGTAGATATATAAAAAAAAATCATTAATTTATACAATCTCTTTCATTTTCAAATAAAAACACTAAGAATCAGAGATAAAGACTGCAGCAGCAGAACACTGACATAATTCATTAAATTTCAAAGGGCCACATTTAAAGCAGCACAACCAAGAATATAACCCTCAACCTTCCATATTCATTCCTAGCCATAAATCAGAATAAGCTATTTAAAGCTATGATTTCTAAGATACTGGTCACAGGTAACAATTATGTTACTCAGTATGATTTTGATACTCCAAAGATTGACACAGTTAACAATTCCCTAATTTGTTTCTACACTATTAAAGACATACAAATAAAAATCTCAAGAAATTGCATCTCTTCAAACAGCAAGCCCACAAGCTTGCTTCCTAAACCTCTTACACAGCCAGAGAAAGATCTTTTTAAAAAAATATGTATTTTGTGAAATAAAAATATGCTTAAATGTTAGAAGTAGATTTTACTACATTACACAAATCCATAAGTAGAATTGTTTTGAAGTCTACTTTTCCTCTGCTGTTAAGGAATATATATATCTGCTAGTGCATGATAAAAATGCTACGAGTCTGGATTCTTTCAGCAGATGAATACTGACTAGACAGTCAACATTAAATTGAAACTATATCGGAAAATCTTGAGGTTGTCGAATGTTTGCGCCTCCAACAAATTTTGATACACCTTTCCTAACAGAGTACTGCGGGGAAAAAAAAGGACAATACATACAAACCTAACACCTAAATGTATTTTTAATATAAAGTAAAATTTTAATAATCCTCCAGCACCATAAATACTGCAACAGTATTATCTGTTCAAATATTTCATTTAATTCTTGGTGTCACTCTCTGCAGTGCTTAAGCATCAGAAAAAAACTGTATTTACAGGTTTACATGTTACAACCTGTACTTAGCTAAGCGAAATAAACTCTTGTCTTTTTATTATTTCCTGGTTTAGGACTACCTGAATGGAAAGAAGCAACAAATGTTATATGATTCTTGTGACCTCTGCAGTGGCGAACAATGAAAACATTCAAAACTCAGTCAATTACAAAATACATAATTTTAGAAGTCAAAAATGTTCCTATTCTGGAACTTGGCAAGAGAGGACACAAAGTAACACTTGATTATTTAATTCAATAATCTAATTGCCACACTGCACTTCGCAGCAATTAGAGCACAACCAATTTATGAAAGAAAGCCACATTTCCAGGGTTTATATTAGTGGTTTAATTCCACTGGATGATTAATTCAAGTGGCCTGTACATCAGACCACTATGCAAGTATTTTGTAGACGCTAAGAAATCAAATTGTTGTGCAAATTCTGTAACCTACAGAGCTAAGATAGGCAAGCAGAAAGGAGCTTAGCTCCATATCTCAATTATTGTCTTTTCACAGCCTGCAATCAGTGTGTAAATGTTTGGCACCACTCAAAGCAGTCTCAGCGCTAACCATAATGTGCAGTAGTAACTCCAACAGTGTAAGGTAGCCAAAGCAAATACATTGTGGGGAATGAACGCATGGATGAAGGTATCTCCTAACTTTGGTGCATCAGGCTGTTTACAGACTCTTAAGGATTCCCTTGCACAGGGAAGAAAAGAGGAACTCTTCAGGTAACTGGACAAGTCACTTTTTCCCCTACCTTTCTGTTGGTTTATCTTTTACTGCAGCAGCAAGCAGCAGCCATAGATTGGGAAGGAAATTGATCAAATGCAGTTTTAGGAAGAATATTTCACAGTAGCCTTCAAAAACATCTCATGTTTCGTATCTAAGCACAATAGAAAGGACCACAGTTTTCTCGGTAGACATGGCAAAATTTGCGATATCTCCTGATGCTCGTTTCCATGTAAATTAAAAATCAGCTTTCCCAATAGAGACAATTAGAAAGAACAGAGGTTTGCTGAGAAAAATCTTTGTTCTTGTGCTTTCTAATGAAAAAGCAGTATTTGGCAACAGGATTTGCCTGGACGGCAGCTCTCTGACAGCTATTACATATAAAACACTTCAAAAATCTTGTGCGCACATTTGCGTGTGTGCATGCCTGTGCATGTGCACGATATGATTAATTTCTTATAGCTAGATTGAATGATTAGGATCTCTATTAAAGCATCGTTTCCCTCCAGGGTATCACATCCAATTGGCATTCAACAGCCTATAGCCTAGTACAAGCCTGCTAGCCTTGTACTAGCAGACAAGTATCCAAATCACAAGATAAACTGCATTTCTTGATGCACTCTTCACAAATCAAATCAAAGTTGACCGAGTATAGCGCCTGAAGTCCCTGGAGGTGATGTCTCAGAAGAAGGTCAAGTTACACTGTATGAGGAAACAGCTAGTACTGTTATTCTGTTCCCTGCCCATGATAACAAGAGGATTTTAGTCTCCAGGGCTGTCAGTCTACCATCTTTCATCAAGAATAACTTCATACATAATAAATACAAGTTTTTAGAAATACAATTTTATTTTTAAGCAATGGTCTTTATTACACAGAGGAACTGATATGAAGCAGCATTAACAATGAGAGGAAAAGAGTAAAGCTGTCAATTAAATGCAGTATTTTTCCTTCTGCTGTAGTGAAATTATCTGCCTATCCTGTGAAACCAGTAAATGAACACATTTGGTATTTACACAAAGAGCAGAAAAAGTGATAAAAGTAGTATTCTACTGGCCCCTGCTGGTCATTACACAACCATAAGCTTTCTTCCGTCAATTGCTCTGAAATATTTATTTATTTTCTCATATATAAGATTATCAAACATTTATATTCACTAGTGTCACTAAGCATAGATGATCAACTCACTAGAGGATGTAGCAGTTCCGCTCTACAGAAAGAGTAGAAGCACTAGATTGCTTTGCTTTGTTCTTCAAAACTTACGTTCCCATTTTCTTATGTCGTCATTATAGCCACTCCAGCTTGACAGAGAAAATAATGTTCATGAGAACTAATTATGGTCACAGATGTACCAAACAAGACAATGTCCTACATCCAGTTTTGGTTTGTTTCTAAATAGAAAGTAGAGCAGTATATGGTATAATATTAACCTAAGATGATTTATATTAAAGTCCAACCATTGATAAGATTTGACATCAATCAAAATATTTTTTTTTTCTTCTGGGTTGGGGCAGGGGAATGAAGAGTACATTGTTTAGCCACCAGGTTCTAAGCCTTTTTAATGGGGAAAACTCCTTGATTTATGTTGTGAAGCAGATTCGAATGCATTTCAACTGCTATGATGTTGTCGTCTTTGTTTCCTTTTGTGATTTCAAATGTTATATTTGATTTAAAAATAAAAACTGAACTGTTTTATGTGTTTAACGGATAGACTAATAATGACTAACGGATAGAAAAAGGACTTCTAGTTGTTCCTTCCTCTCTGAATAATCTTGTACTTGTTACTTTGCTAACTGAGAAGTTTTGGTAACATTGGAGCAATTACTTTTTACAGGGCGAGCCCCCTGTATTTCCCTAGTGAGTTCTTCAGAAATTCTTACCAAAAGTTTTACAAGCAAAATCTCATGTCCATTACGAGAGGATCTCTGAGGTATAAAGTCACTGTCTCTCCATCCCCCACAACATATTCAAAATACGCACAAGCAAAGTACTTTGGTAATTTGGTGATGGAGGCCATATCAACCTTTATAGGGTAAGCTAAAAGAAAGAAAAGACTTATTCAGACAGAAAAGTTAAAATACACATTTAGGTCATCAAATTGTGTCTATCGAAGTCAACAGGCTTCAGCAGATTTTCTTTCTACAAGTATGTTTAGCTCTCTGCAGCAAAGCTAAAAGTGCGGAGGAAAAGATACATTGTTACAGTCATCTAAAACTTGGCAATGCATCCCATACTAACGACCACCCTTAAGATTCCCATTTTGCCATGCAATCGCAATCCATTACTAAAATCAAAATCCAGCCTTCATTTTAAGCTGGATAGGGAGGGGGAAGAGAAGAAGGTTCTCCTAACAGGACAGGGAGCGTTGAATCTTCTGCAGATGTTTTTTCATTTACACACAACCTACCTGAAGACAAGAAGTACTGCACAGACTGCTTATCTAGCTGTTCCAACACAATTTAACGCAAGTCAGTTACTTTTCAGGTGTCAAAGCGCAGACAACTGAAAATAATAGAGGTTCCAAAATGCTCTTTCATGAAAATTAATTCAATCAGGAGGGTTTTTTTCTGGAAACAGGCCTCTTCCCCTGCCCCCCACTATGGGGGGCTATGAAACAAATTTAAGGTTTCCTATCAGCTTTAAGAGTAGACTATAATTTATGTATTAAGAAGCAAGTATTAAATTAACAACAATAAAAATACAATTTCTTTCTAATGCACTGGAATAACAAAACAAAGAGCCTCCCCAATGTCGAAGGCTCTCAGACAAAAACACTGAGCAGCCTGACAACACTGAGAGATATAGGAAGTGGGGGGAAAACAGAAAACAAACAAGCCCCCCCCCACACCAAAAAACCTCAAAACATAAACAAAAAAATCCCCAAAGACCAAGCAGCTGATTTTCCAGCGCCAACCCTGTAGAACCCTGAGACTTTTCAAATATGATCATTGCAACCCTCTGGAAGATAGGTCAAGGAAGAATGTTTAAAGAATCAATAATTTTAGAGTAGGCTATTATTCAATAAGAGAACATTCACGTACCAAACTTTTTGCTTCAAAATAGTAAGGTGTAACCTGAAAGAATGATCTTATTCTTACAGACTAGCTTGAAAAAGCTAACAAAACACAGCAACTGCGGCAATAGAAAATGATGCCTCACCTTCCTTTTTTAACCATTTCACAATGTTTCCTTCTTCCATTGTAGGCGAAAGTGCAGGCATGAACACCTTAATAGCAGGCGTACCTGTAAAACAAGCACCAGATTATCTAAATTAGATACTTTTCCAATGTAATTTTTCTCTCACTTAACTGCTTAACTCAAATAAGACTTAAGCAGTGCACAAATCTGAAAGAGAGCGGAACAGAATATTCACTAAAAAGATGCTCCTTTTCTAAAAGTTACACACAAACATGCACTATAAATGAAATTCAGAAGAGCACTGAAGAGAACAAGGCACAAAGTATAGATCCCATCTGTTATGCAGAGAAAAAGGGCTAACTTGAACATGAACTCATAAATAATACATAGTCTACTAGGCAAACTGAACTCTATCTTAAATAAAAATACAATATAAACACTTGGGGGCTTCAGATACTCATGTTGCTTCAGCTTTGATTCAATTAGTTTTTAATTAAAAGTTTCCCTAGGACCCAGCTTTAGTATGTTATTAAAAATAATACAAACTGGTATTTCAAGTTACATTCTGGCGTACCCAACAACACTGTAGCGGACTGAAGTGAAGCAGGATTAAGGAACTTTTCTCCAAGAAAAACGTAAAGAGAGCAAGAGCAAGCGAGCAAGAGCGCAGGGGGTGGGAGGGGGAAACCTTGTTTGCAGTTCAAGCTACAAGCAAGCTATAGCATGGAGAATGAAAGAGCTGGCAAAAAACACAAACATGCATTAGAAAAGATCAGCAGCTAACATAATGCTGTGATGTTTTCTTTCACTCCTCCACAGAAAAGCCACAAGTTTCAAATGCTGAGCCTGTGAGGGTGAGCTAACACCCTCAATATCTACAACTGGAAAATGTAAAGGCCCAAAGCGTTTTGTCCATCAGAGACAGAAGTACTAAGCCAGATCACATTTCCATTTTCCTGGGCTTCCACATGTGGCCCTACATACGCTTAGTTCTGTGTCTGTCAGAGCCTCTTTAAGCAAAACCTTGGCCAACAAGCTGTGCCACAGCCTCTCAAACACTCTCCAAGACATGTACATGAATGAGACAAGGCTCAAAGACAAGTTAGTAGGAAAGGGAGTTCACAGTGTGCACATAAGACTTGTCAGATCTAAGTAAGCCCAAAGGAAAAAACACACACACACGCATCTCAGTCCTCAAGAGGGGCCAGCACTGCTGCAGTCACAGGAATTTGGGCGAAAGGCAGTTGTAAGCTCCCTGCTGATGAACAGTGACGTGTTACAGAGGACAGTAAACTTCACCCACAAGACTCCTGACTGTTTACCAAAATTTTTCTTCCTACTTATGCACTATACCAGCAGTATAATTTTGCGCATATGAGCAAAGTATCAGCCAGGCACCCTCTGCTCTCTCTAAGAGTACTTATCCATGCCCAGTCTTCTAGTCATGGGTATGTGCGTGTGCGGACGGAGAGAAAGAAAAAGAGAGAGCATGTTTAGCCAGGTGCTAGAATCCTTCCTGACTTTTAACTAAATGTTTGATACTGATATCTTGATTGTGATTATCACCTTAATGCTGAACTGCAGAGTTAAGAACATGCCAAGGCAAAGCACGTAATTCCATTCCCCCACAGTTCAAAAACTAAAGAAAGAAATGGCCATTCAGAGTTCTGAATCCCACGAGGAGCAGTACTGTGGGTCTTCTCAGAATCCACCACAAACCCTACATCTTCCTCCTCCTCTTTGCACCAGGCTGTGGAATTTTTCCCAGATGATGAAGTGTATTTGTTAAATTAATAACAAAACCCCTAACCCTATGTAGTCCAGACACTGGTTACTCAACTCCCCCACAGATAAACTGTTTTAAAGTTTACTTACTCTTTCTGCTAGGAAGCTACGTTTAATTTGCAGACTGATATAGCCTAATTTCAAATTCAGTGACTGGATCTTACATCTCTGTTAAAAAGACTGCAAGATTTCTCATTATGGAGCTCTTTTTAATGCAGAAGTGCTTATATACAGGGACCAGATCAATTCTCAACCTTTTCTTTGACAAGCTGAGCAGAGACATCCACAAAGTCCAGTGTATCTAAACAATACAAACCCACAGCCCCTCCTGCTGTGCAACAGCCTCTACTATAGACACAGATGGCTAGCCCCTCTCTGCAGTCCATCAACCATCTGAATCTGTTCAGTAAACCCATGCACCAAGAGGAAAGTTGTGGCACTGCAGACTAGCAGGTGGAGCGCCACGTAAATGGGATTTCCTTGAGCACAGGACTCATGAGACAACACATTCCTCAGCTGCACTGTAGCACACCGCCTCTCCTGTCACTTGACTCCGTATACCAGAGTATTCTGACATTCAGCTTGTAATGCAAGAGATATCAGCTTTCTGAACAGTAAAGGACACTTACAAGGCCACAAATTCAGCTCTTTAGGCACCATGTTGTAAGGCTAACTTTCTAGCATCTGACCAATTTGAGGCCCTGTTATATCCAAATCTGTACTGAATTAGGAAAAAAAAAAAAGGCAGGAGAGAAAGGAGGAGTACATGTCATACAAAGACAAGAATCAATTCTGCCTCATATTCCGTTTTCTCTACGCCCAGTCAGCAGAGTTAAGTTGTCAATTCAACAGTAAGTAACAATGCATTTCTCCCAATTGTTGTATTGCTGAAAGCAGGCAAGAACAGCTTTAAAAGCTCAAACTTACTCTCCCAAAATTCTCACTATCTGGAAGAAAGTGTAAGCAAGTAAACTAGAAAATATTGGAGCCGAAAAGTACATGGTGCCCAGAGTGAGATTATTTCTTATCCTTACCTCCATATAATACTAAACTCAGTCGTAAGGCTTAACCACAGTTAAGATCTCAGAGAAAACAAACACAGAAATGGAACTTCAATTAATACACAATGATTTAAGGAAATTTAAAAAGCGCACCCTTGTTCTGTAACTCATTAATGTTAACATAGCCCATAAAACTTAACCATGTCTATCATATTGCTACAGGCTTATGAAAGAATAAATTATAGCACTTGTAAAAGAATGAATAAGCATTTGACAATAAATATTTAAGAGATGAGGTAAAGTTAAAGAAACTGCAGTTTTTCCATTCTTCCTGGACACAATGCAAAATGGAAACATTACAGCAAAGATCTAATAACCTCAGCAGCCAATAATGATCTTGCCATTTTAAAATGTTCTGAGATCAGAAAGCGAGTTATTTATTCCCCAAAGTCTCCAGGAGATCAACACAATCCAGGTCATGCTCCCCAAAACACATGAACTGTGGAAATGAGCCCAGTGTATGCATGGTTCATGTTCCTGGAATATTTTCCATGAGGAAATACACATGTATTTGTTTCAGTCTTCTATTCCCACGTTAATTCTCCTTTTCCAACTCATTCATAGAAATGGTCTCTTCTTTCTTTCTTTCTGTGATATATAAACACTTGTCAGTTCAGTATTACTCATTATTTTCATGTTTAGAAATTTACCCAGACAATGTTCCTGATAACATTGGTTATATAACATTGGTCATCTGAATTACCTCCAAGAACTTATAAGTTTCTTTTTGTAACTTTCCATCTTGGGCCAATATAAAATAAACAAACTACATTCTGAATGCATACTAATCTGTGAATGTATATCTGCATTCATTTATCAAATCACATTTATCTATGATCATTTTTGAATCATTGCAAATAAAGCATGGGTACACAATTTTCTTGGCACTGTGTTCACTCAAAAAAAATAGAAAAGAATGCATTACATCACTTGAAAACTTGCATGATGTAAACAAATGCTTCGTTTCATTTGTTTAATTCGGCAAGTAAACTTTGACAGTGAAAGTGTGATTTTGAAGGCATATCTCACAAACATCTAGGGCTATCTAGAAGTAGTGAACATTCTTCACTGAAAAAAATGAAAGTGTTCTACTTTTCTAATGAAAGAAATAATTACTATTTAAGCATGGTGGTTCACACATTTCACTTACTACAGAGTGCCCCGTTGCCTAGAATATGCTCCATACTTTGGCATAAACCCAAAATCGGCCAACAAATTTAGTGCACTACTTTTCCCCTTTCACAATATGAACTACCTACACGGTCCCTTCCGAACCTTTGATCAAGTTAAGAGACAAGATCCAGCAACAAAGCACACATGAAGTAAAGTAGTGGAAAAGTAAATGGAAGAGGAAGCAAAAGGAAGATTCCCCCCTCTCCGCCCAAAAAATGTGACAAATCTGAGCACGAGAAGCTGCCTTTTTCTATACTACTGTGCCTCATTGCGATAACGGTAATTGCAGTTGAGAAGCAGCACTCAAACTGGGTTTTAAAAAGGTATCTCACTATGCCTTTCATAGTCAGAAATGAAGTAGGCTACCAGTCTTCCTAGGCACTTAAACACTTTTTACTAGCAGTCACACTTAAACAAAAAATTAATGCATAAAGAATAAACGCACTAGTCACTATATAATAGCTAAGCAAAACCTCCAATAAGAGGGAGATCAGACGAGTACTCACAACAGCAACTAAAGAAAATCTTTCCTTCATTATCTCGCAACTTTCCAGCAGGCACACAGAACATCTGGTTTGCGAGGTCCCAGCAACTAACAAAGGCTTGTTATTATTACATAGAAAGACCAATATATAATCACATAACTGAAAGAATAGGAAAATCCTTTCAAAAGGAGGAAAAAAAAACAAAACCAGAAGAAAATCTAGAGAGTTCTGCTAGCCCCTTGTGGGAAAGGATGGTGAGCCAAAGGCTGCTCAGATCCTTCTTCAGACAAGAGAATACAAACTGTCTTAACTAGAGGGATTAATAATGTTACATTTATATTACTGATGTAAAATAGTCCTGAGTGATAGCAGGATTGAATGACTTGGCCTGCATCGCCCATCAAAACAAACGTAAAGATCACCCATCTTCTCACTTCTAGTATCTTGCTCTAGGCAATAAATGTAGTACCGTAACTAAGCTAGCTTTCTTTCTCTTCTGGGCCTATGACAACACTTTAGTGGAATGACATCCTTTTGAACCTGCACGCATCTATTCAGAAACTGCAAGAAGAAAAATCCAGCTTGAGAAAACTAACCCTAT